TATATAGTTAATACATTATTTTGGTAAGAGTATTTGAAAGTTTTTCCTAGTGTTTTATTCAGAATGAAACAGTCTAGATGTTTCTCATAAAATACAGATCTTACCATGTAAACATAATTACATTTGCTTTTGTACTTTTTACACATTATTACTAGTATTGAAGGGAGTTGAGTCATCTTTAGACTTCAAACTTTTTATTTAGGCTATCCTTGAATATACTAGAAAATGGTCTTTATACTTAACATTTTCATCTTCAAAAAGTTAACCTGCTTTTTATTGGCAGTTTATGTGATTTGAGGTATGTCAGAATGCTTAGTGTTAAGGAAGAGCAGAATAGTGATTAGAAAGGAAAAATAAAGCTTTATTTTATTAAAATGATACATTTTATGCTTCAGTTAAAAGCTGCCAACTTCTCTTAGTTTTAAGACTAGCTGAAGCAAAGCAAAAGTTTTAAAACTTTTAAAATTGAAAACATTAACTATTTTAGATTATAGTTTATTAATAGTGTAGTAAAATTTAGACTCATTTATGAGTCAAGAATTAAAGTTTAAAAAAAAAAGGAAGAAAGAAGAAGAAAGAAAGACAGACAGACAGACAGACAGAAAGAAAGAAAGAAAGAAAGAAAGAAAGAAAGAAAGAAAGAAAAGAAATAGTCTCAACCAACTAATGACTTGTGCCTTTTTAAAGACTTCATATTTGGTAATGAGAATTTTCTTTCACAAAGTTAAAACCTGGGAGCAGCTATATAAGCAGTCACCTGCAGTCCCAGATTCCGTCTAGTAGAACATGGGAATTTTTTGAAGTTTGTTTCAGTGAATTGTCCTTATACTTCGTTTCCATACTCCTTTTAATCTTCACTATTGTTTTCTTGTTGTTGTTGTTTTAATGTGGTTAAATATTAGTATCATTTAAATTTTTGCTGGCAGTTTCATTGTATATAATCTGACTGGCTTTCTGAAGACGAGTTTGGACAGTTCTCTAGAACTAGAGGAAGAGCAGAGCCTAAAAGTCAGTCACCCACTTGGATTTTACCAGTTGTCATTTATTTAGCCTCACTCTTCTCACTTGACTTGAAACTGAAGATGCTTATAGTATTTATGGACCAGCTCTTTTATGAGGATTATGTGCTTAAAGAGTTTAGCTTGGTAGCCAGACATGTTGGTGCACACCTGGAATTCCATCACTCAGAGGCTGAGGCAGGAGGATTGCCACTAGTTCAAGGCCAGGCTGAACTACATAGTAAGACCCTATCTCTAAAAGAAATAAAAAAGCTTAGCATAGACTTGATATTATAAGTAGTGAATAAACGTTGGTTGTTTATGTTCTACTTTTTATTAGCAGTTTACATGTGGAATGCCTAGAGTTTAAGTGCACGCATGTATATAGTGTTTTGTACTTTTAAGATCTTCAGTAGATATTTCTCAAACAGCTCTTTTTCTTTTTTCAGTTTTGGCTATAGTACACAAATAATTCTCTAATGATAAACAAATTTCTTATCATACCACTATGACCCTATTAAATAACAGTTTTCATTTTCTACATTCTTTTTCTACTTTTTATATACATAGGGAGTTTTCCCATAAATTCAAACAAAATACACCTGTACACAAAATAATTCTTATAAAATGTAAGTGATATATCACTTATGGACTGTGTTACTGGAATTTTAGCCTTTTGTTAACCAGATTTTCATAAAAACAGATTTTGTACTTGTGCCACTAAGAAAGATGGGTTTTTACATTTGCTTCTGCCAGGTGTGGTGGCACACACCTGTAATCTCAGCACTTGAGAGGTGGGAGCAGTAGGATCACTGTGAGTTTGAAACTAGCCTGGGCTCCCTAAGCGAGTTCAGGGTCAGCCTGCACTACATAGTGAACCCTGTCTCAAAGAAAAAAACAAAACTGTTTGCTCCCATTTAGCCTGTATGTGTGTATCTGTAGAAAAAAGGATATGTACCTGAAATGATTATGTCTGGGTACTAGGATCAGGTAATGTTAATTGATTTCTTTGTTTTACTTCATATATTTCATACATATTTTTTCAAGAAAAAGTAAACTTACATTTGTCTATTTTACTTTTATGTAGAAAAAGACAAAGTACATAATTTTTTAAGACCTTCATTAGGCACCAGCTTTGTTAAGACTCTAGGAATTCAGAAGTGAAGTGAAGATAGTTCTGAGTTCCACACATGTAATCAAGGCATCGTAGGGGTTTATACTGGTTCAATGAACTCTGAACAGGTTATTCCTGGTGCTCAGAAAGGAGGATGGTGCTGGTAGTCTGTGTTCCGTTTGAAGTCATACCAGTTTAGTTCCTCAGCAGCTTTTATGCATGATTAAGCAATTGAAACTAGGAGGCTTACAGACATTTTTCAAGCTGGCTATCAACTTCTAAGATGTGAAGTGATAAGCAACTAGTAGAGGGACATGGGTAACAAACAACCTTGCTGTATGTCCCCTTTATGTATCTTCAACATATAATATAGCATCTTACAGGACATTGCAAAGTAGGGGTGCAGGAAACTGAGTGCTATCTTACTTCAGCAGTTTGCCTTTTTAACTGCTAAACAGAGCCAGAATTTGGACCCAGTGATTATAGCTTCTGAGCCTGCATATTAAACTCTGTGTTACCCATTAGTAGTTCGTTAGCAGGCCCAAAAGACTAATGCCAGGATATGATGTCTATTTAATATTTTATTTTAAAGTGATATACCTAAGCCAGTAGTGATGAGCCTGTGTCACGTGTGCCACAATAGGCTGTTTGTATTGTTGAAAGTTCTAAAAGGTTCACCATCACTGATAAACTCAGTTTCCTTTCTTGGTGGCTGGGTGGAGAATAATTCCTACTGTTTTGATCAGCTGAAGTTTTTTTTACTGGAACAAGTTCCATGTTGTGGCCTTCCTTTCCAGTTGAACTTTGTGGGCTTTTCATTTAGGAATGTTTAGTTTTAAAGGAATTTAGTTTATGTATTACAAAATTGAGTATGGATTATTTAAAGTGTATTTTTCTATGTAGAAACACATATCAAGGAATTCATTATATCCCTTAGAGATAGTAGGTCCTCAAAGGGCATTCACTATGTTTTCAATTTGAAATTTGCTTTTAGAAATCTATAGTTGTAGTTAGGTGTGGTGGTGTACACCTGTAGTCCCAGCAGTTAGGAGATTGAGGCAGGAGAATCTCCATGTGCTCAAGGCCAGCCTTGGCTACACAGTAAATTCAGCCTGAACTTTACAATGAGACCTATCTCAAAAAAGAAAGAAAGAAATTTATTGTTGAATTAAAAAATAGCTTTTATATTTATTTCTTTTCTAATAATTGAATAGATTTATGAAAATGTTGAAGTATAACTTGCATTATTTTAATTATGTAAAGAAATGTGTCAATTTTGTGGTTAAGATATTCTAGTACTGTCGCACCATTTCCCCTTTTGTCAAGAAATTAGATAAAAATTCTAAATTTTACTTTTCAGTGTCATCCATTCTCCAATACCAAGTCCTGTTGACAAAGTAAGTTGCTAATGAGTTTTTTTTCCAAACTCAGTTATATTGCTTTGAAAGTATTAATTTTTAATATGCTTTATTCAGAAACTTCTGTTTTATAAATAAAACAGCACATATATGTATCTATCTAGTTAATTCAATCTTGTGAACTCCACTATGTAGAGAATTTAGGATAGGTGTTTCTTAAAAAAAAAAAACCTTTGTTGTTTCAAATAAACTGTTGTCTGTATATAGCTATTTTATGCCTACCTAGAGAAGGGGAATGTTAGCTATTTTTATTCTGAGTTATAGTTCTGTCCAGAAATTTGTGAAAGTTTTATGCCTAAATATTTACCTATTTAAGGAAGAATCATAGAAGTATGAACTTATACAGCTTATTTTTTATTGTCTTTGAAGATTAGTCTAACTTGTTCTGATCAGAAACATTGCGGTAGGCTGGGGAGATAGCTCAGTGGAGTAAGTGCTGGTCTGGCAAGCACAAGGTCCTGAGTTTGATCCCTGGTCCTACCAAAAAAAAAAAAAAAAAAAAGAAACATTACAGTAATTTCTTGCTAGACAGTATTTCTTTTGTTCAGAAATTACAGTGCATTAAAACAAGAGGTTTCATTGCTAAATAGCAAAAAGAAAAAATTAAAATGTCTTTTGGATACTTTCACATTAATGTGTATATTATTTTTCCTTAGTATAACTTAGTAACTAAGCTATTGGGAAATTTTTTTTTCTTCCACTTGGGATGAAAATGAATGCTTGAAACTGAAGTTGTCTCTTAGATTCCTTTTTTAAAAGTAAACGTTGGCTAATTATCCGCTTCTCGAATACCAAGAATTTTTTCAGAAGTAAATAATGGACTTGTTTATACCTTACTTTAAAAAAAATAATGAATGCCAACTCCTTTAGCCAGTATGTTCATAAAGATAAACTTTTGTTTTTTGGTACCTGGGACCGGACTCAGGACGTTGCACTTGCCAGGCAGTCACTTATGTCGCTGAGCTATTTCCCCAGCCCAAGGTGTACTTTCTGCTGAGGGCTTGGGTCAATATTAACAACAACCTTTTGAGTGTGCCCCTCTCTCTCCCCTCCATTCTATGTTCTATGGTCTTGGAAACTCCATTAGGGGAGGTTCTAAGCAGTTTGACACTATTATTACTGTTTAAACACCATTATACTCTACCCCGCCCCGCCCCACCCCGCCCCACTGCCAGAACCGGGGATTGAACTCAGGCCCTTGAGCTTGCCAGGGAAGTGATTATTCTACTGAGCCATCTCCGTAGCCCTTTCGCTGTCATTTTATTAAGATGTGCTCATAAAGAAAAAAAAAGAATTATTTTCATTGCCTTTGTTCATTAGTGTGAGATTTCATGTCCTCCATAACACACACAAAAATAACAATTTGAAGATATTTCTTCTAAATCAATTGTGACTTGTTATATGAAGAACTATTTAATGATGAATTTTAAAGGGAAAGTACATGACTCAATTGATTTAGGAGTTTTGTGTGGATTAAGAAAAGGCTATATTCTCTTTATGATATAAATGTGTGGCTTATCAGATTTGGCTGATCAGGGAATGTTGTCGTGAGTAACACTTACTTGTTCAACTACCCTGCTTACAAATTTCACACTTATCAGGGTAATACCATTTATAAATTCCAAACATAGAAGTAATACAAGAACTAGGGAAAGTGGTTAATTTTAAAATTAATTTTTATGTGCACTTAAACAGGCATTTAAAGGAATTGGTTTCTTTTTAATTTGTTTTATTTATAATGTTTTCTGTTGTTGTTGATACTGTCATTTTACTTCTAGGTTGCTGCTAACACTCCAAGTATGTACTCTCAGGAATTATTCCAGCTTTCTCAGTATCTACAGGTAAAAGTAGATCTTGAGAATACTTAGTCTTTAAAAGTAGAATTAAATAACTTAGTTTTTATTTTGCCAGTTAACAAATGCAGGATGTATGTATATGTGGCTACATACAAGTTCAAAACAAATACCTTTTCAAAGAAATTCAAAGGATTAAAAAAAGGATGTTACGAATTTTTTTAAAGCCTTGGATTTTTAAATCTAAAGAAAGCAAAGTTTCTGTACAAGAAAAAAAATTTCTTCTAAAATGAGAATATTGGGACTCAGGTCAACAATTTCTGACATTGCCAGTTAAGCGGAAGACCCAGTACTATTATGGGATGCTGGACTCTTAGAATATTTTGCTGAGTTTACACACCTATAATATTCAAATAACGCAACTTAACAACTAAAGGGTATACAGATGAATGTTCATTTTGTATATGTGTATTCAAAGTGGTTGGGATAGATATATAGTTACATTCTGTTAATGAATAGAACGATTTGTTCTAATGATGTTTGTAAATAGGATATCAAGTCCGCATCTTGTATAGCAATTAACCACTAAGAAGAATGTATGCAGTGTGTTAATTATTGAAACTGTCCTACCGATTTGATTTGAAACTGTCTTGTTGCTATTTGTTTATCAATAAAATTATGGCAAGAAAAAAAAAATAACATAAAATAAAGTGAGAATATTCCAAAGTAGTTTTTAATCTGTAAGTGACTTTCATGTAAAATTAAACATGGATGATTTAGTTTGGGGTTTTGTTGTTGTTTGTTTGAGTTGAGACAGGGTCTCACTATATAGTCCAGGATGGCCTTGAACTTACTGTGTAGTCCAGGGTGGCCTCAAATTCACAGCAGTCATCCTACCTCAGCTTCCTGAGTGCTAGGATTACTGACGTGTACCACCATGGCTTGCCTTGGTTGCTTAATATTAATAGCATAAAATTATATAGCACTTTGTATACACATCTTTGTAACATTCTTATATTTTAGTAGATATTTTAATCCGATTTATACAGATGCGGTAATTGAAAAGCAGAAAGATTTAATAATTTATATAATATCATATATATACTATGTAGTAGAGCTGGGATTTGAACCTAGTCTGAGTTTTCATTAATTGAATAGTCAAATCTGAACCTTTCCTATAATGAGCTGCTGTATATAAAAATTTCTCAATAAAGCAGATACTTGGAATGGGCTCCAAAAACAGTTAATTCTGTATTTAAAATACTACACAAAGGGCTGGTCAGATAACTTAGCGGATTAAAGCGCCTGCTTAGGCAGACAACGGGTCAGAGGTTTGGTCCCTGGCCTGCCTGTTGTGTTTGCCCCGAGACAAATCTCTGGGGTGCCCTGAGACAGATATTGAGACTGGGCATGGTGGCACACGCCTGTAATCCCAGCACTTGGGAAGCTGAAAACAAGAGGATCATTATGAGTCGATCTGTGTAGTGAGACCCTGTAGACCCTGCAGTAAAATACAAAAATAAATAAAGTACTACACAAAAGCAAAGAAGTGTTATTTTTTCCCCCTTAGATTTGGGCTGGAGGATCAATCATTGAGAGCAGTTCCACTTTAATTAAGAATTTTCACTTCTATGAAAATGAACAGAAAATAATCAGTACATTAATTATCTTTTCCAGCAGGCATAATGTGCTGGTCCATACAAAACAGTTTTGCACATTTTTCCTTCAATAGCATATTTAAGAGCATGGGAAGGGGCTGGGGATTTGGCTTAGTGGTAGAATGCTTGCCTAGCAAGCTGGAAATCCTGGGTTCAGTTCTTGGCACCAAAAGAATAAAACTGCTCCTAAAAAAAATAAATAAATCTCTCCTAAGAGCATGGGCACTAGCCAGGATTTCCTAGATTTGATATGCTGAAAAAGTTACTTAAAACATTTGAACCTCATTTTCTTCATTTAAGAAATGGGTTTCGTTGAACTTCACTGAATTGTGAAGAATCTGTAAATTAATATGTGTAAAGCACTTGGAACAGAGGGGACACAGAATGTATACTGTAAATGTCAGTAGTCACCTGTCATTCAAAAGGAGGCACACTGGCTGGGTGTGGTGGCACAGGCCTATAATCCCAGCATTCTGCTAGCAGAGGCAGGAGGGTAGTTGTGAATTCCAGACCAGCCTAGGCTACAAAGTGAGCTCAAGGCCAGCCTGAACTACCTAGTGAGAACCTGTCTCAAAGACCAAAAAAAAAAACCACATTCATTGAGGCACATTCATTTAGCTAGGTCTCTCTTAGGAGGTAGAAGAAAACTAAGATTAATTTGGTTTATACTTTATTTTTCATATCAGAAATATGGGCCCTAGATAAATAATTTGTCCACGGCTCTATGGAATATTTGCATCATCATTAATTGCAAATCTTATCCCTTTTTGTCAGTTCTTTGAGTGTCTGTGTATTCTAAGACTTTAAGAGAAATTGTACCACAGTCTTATCTGTATACTTAATATTGAATTGCTAAAGTTCTGATGTAAATTGTGAACTGTTTGGATAAAAGCTGGACTACATGCTTTTTATGCATTAGAACTAATAAAAGACCATTTATGAAGGTGCTGCATTTGCTGAACTGTAGTTGGTTTTGTTAAAAAGCTAATTCAATTGAATTTCAGAAAGTGGAATTGCACCATCTAGTGGAGGTGGATTTTAAAGTTGGTTGATGGTTTTGTTTCCAGTAAAACATTTTGTATTTGTTATTTCCTGCACAGTAGAAATCTTGTAGAAGCTTAAAGTAGAACTGGTAAATAGTCTCTTTGTAATGAAAGCCTTTAAAAATGCCTCTTGTGTGCAGTTGTGTTTAAAAATATAGACTCTGAGATGTAAAGGGTTTCATACAATGCTTAACTTACATATTTAGAGTTATATTAAAGTACAGTAAGTAATTTTTTGGTGATTTACTTATTTATTCATTCATTTATTTATTTGTACAGTAAGTAATTTTAATTAGATTTTCTCTAATAATTATTAAGGATATAGAAAGCAATAAATTCATGCTTTAAACAAGTATTGCCTTTTGAAGTATATACTTATCTGTTGAGGTGATTCAAAGATAATAGAATAGCAAGTGTTTTTTGGGTAATGGCAGGAAGAGAAGGTAAAAATGTGCCAAAGCCACAATAAAATGCTGTGAACATTTCACTTTGACTCCCAATGGAGGAGACCCTATTAACAGATACTTAATATAATCAAGTTACCTAGAGATCAGATTCTGCTTACCAATGTCTTTCTCTGTAAAATATTACTTTGGACTGTCATACATAATTCTTTGACCCCTCTATTACATTAACTCAATGTAGCGGGTTTTTATTTGGGGCATATTAACTGCTGCTAATGACATAGAATCAGGGAAAGGATTGAAACAGCAATGATATATATATAAAAAGTACTGTGCAGATAAGCCATTACAAAATGTCTTTGATACTGACTTGATTACTTTGTCTTAGTCTGGAATGAGTTTGTTCTGAGATGCAATCATATTTTACCTATGGGTGTGTGTGTGTGTGTGTGTGTGTGTGTGTGTGTGTGTAATGAAATCCTAAAGTTACTGGTAAGAAGGAAAAAAAAAAAAAGCAAGTGACTTATTTTCTGTCTCAGAGGAAGCTACCATAGTAACTCTTAAAAAAAGAAAAGAAAAGAAAAGAAAAGAAAAGAAAACTTCCCAGCTCTTGGGAGGCTAAACACAGGCAAATCACTATGAGTCAGATCTACACAGTGAGAACCTGTGAAGCCTGTAGGTCTTGTCCTAAAATATAAAAAAACTACTTAAAGCCCAATAGATGAGCCTAAAGTGATGTGGCATATATATTAAAAGATCAAGTTTGAAATACTTTGAAACACATCAAGGGACTGTAATGTGAGAATTATTCACAATGTGTTGAAAATTGATTATGCTTCAAAGGAATCATCTCAAGTTTATAACAATCTCTTTTGTGATTTGTAAGAATAGGAGGCCTTACATCGGGAACAGATGTTGGAACAGAAGTTAGCCACACTTCAGCGGCTATTGGCCATCACCCAAGAGGCTTCAGATACCAGTTGGCAGGTATTCCTGTTGCCTATATAATCAGGAAGCATTTAAAATGTTTTATCACTTGTGTACTGAATGAACTAAAGCTAAAATTTTTAGCAAAGGTGGTGTTTTCTAACTAAAGACCAAATATTGAAGTTAGCATTTTAACAGTGGATGTTGGTCAGGTGTTTTGTTTGCATGCTTACTTGTTTATTTTAAAATGGGAATGATGGACCATGTTTTTTAATGAGTCCTCCATCCATCTGGGGGGGAGAGGTGCGTGTTGCATCACCACAGAAAGATGTGAAGAATACAAGTGCATTGCACGGGTGGGTGGATGACATTATTGGGGAGGAGGAAGAAGCAGCTAATGAGAGAAAGACAGGGGGATACAAGCAACAGGGGAGTGGCCAGGGTCACTCATGCCAGCCCAGGCCAAGCTGGGGAAGCAGCCATGGTACTCCCCATTGCCAGCCTTGGTCAGTCTTTTTGTTGTTGTTGGCAATAGAACTTTTGTGATATGTGTTTTTAATTACTTGATTTCTCTTCAACAGGCTTTAATAGATGAAGATAGACTCTTATCACGGTTAGAAGTTATGGGAAACCAATTACAGGCATGCTCCAAAGTATGTAATCTCATACATAAAGAAGAATGCCTGCATTTTTTAATGTAGCTTCATTTCTTTGATTGTCATTTTGAGTATATGCTAAAATTTTATACATTTTCAGTTCTTTTAAATCTGTTACCAAGAGAAACTTTTAAGTATACCTGTAAGTAGAAAGAACTATATAATGAATGCCCATGTACAAGTCTAATTTTTCTGTTGCAGATGATACTTGTTGAAGAAACTGGGTCATTATTTTGTAGCCATCAACTCTTAATGGGTACTGTGTTCTTTCAGCAAAAGGCTAATGTCTAGTTTTCTGCCCTTTTGGGATAGATCCATTATTTCATTAAAAGTTATAAAAATAGTGTAATTCTATTATTGTTTCATTAACTTAGCTGGATTACTTCTTTAAAGAGAAGTTTTTATTAACCATTTCGGCCCCTGGAGTACATTTTCTACATGAAAAGAAAAGCAAGGACGATGGTTTTTTTCCCTCTAGATTTCAAACTAATGAGTGGTTATTTTGAAAAGAATGACCTTGAAGTAGTTTCTACCCCCACATAGATTTAAACGTATTTGATATGTTTCAATCTGTTACACTGTTTTCTTTATTGATATTCAAATTATCCCATTTTTAGTGTAGGTGAGCCTCTTTAGGGTGGCTCTTTTTGTAAAACTGTAGCAGACTTTGACAGTTTCTTATTTTCCTACTAAAGAGGATAGCCCAAGATCCTTTGGTATATTTCTTACCTCGGATATGGAATCTACTTTTAAAAAATAATTAATTAATTAATTTTTGCGGTACCAGAGATCAAACTAAGGAACTTGCACTTGCAATGCAGGAGCTTATGCTGCTAAGCTATATCCCTGGCCCAGAGTTGAATTTTTAAACCATGATTGTTGTGTTGAAAAGTAATTATGTTTTGTCATAGAAGTAAATATGGTGGCTTGCAGAGAATATAACATATAAAATTAATTTTATATATTAGAGAGTTCCCAGTTGCCTTTGAACTTTTTTCTGTTAGTGGGGATTAATAATATTTGAAAGGCATACTTTGTTGATATCTTTTTATTTATTTATTTATTTTTAATTTTATTTGTGTACTAGGGATTGAACTCAGGACCTTGCGTTTGCCAGGCAGGTGCTTATGCAGCTGAGCTGTATCCCCAGCCCCAATGAAGTCTTTTTTATTGATGTATTCTTTAAGTACAGCTTCAGTTAATATAGGACAACTGTCATTTGTGTTTAAAGATATCTTAATATGTAATTTAAAAAGCATTATAATGTGTTTTGTGTAATGGTAGGAAGCTTTTTTTAAAAAAGAAAAAACTTGACTATAACTATAAATACATTTTGTTCTAGAATCAAACAGAAGATAGTTTACGGAAGGAACTTATAGCATTACAAGAGGATAAACACAACTATGAAACAACAGCCAAAGAGTCCCTGAGGCGGGTTCTTCAGGAGAAAATAGAAGTGGTTAGAAAACTTTCAGAAGTTGAGGTACTTCACTTTAAAAATACTAAATAGTATGATTCTTAGCTGGGCATGGTGGCACATCTGTAATCCTAGCACTTAGGTGGCTGAGGCAAGATTGCCACAAGTTCAAGGCTAGCCTGGGCTACATAACAAAACCCTGTCTTTTATTTATTTATTTTTATTATTTATTTATTTATTTATTTATTTATTATTTTGTGGCTTGCTCAGCCCACCCTGGGCGTGGGGCTGGCACAGCATGTGGTGTCTGGGATTGAACCTCAGTCCCTGAGCACTTGCCTAAGCTTGCCTAAGCTGGCGCTTTAGACCACTGAGCTATTTTACTGGCTGACCTTGTCTTTAAAAAAAGGAAAAAAAAAAAAAGATTTTTTGAGAATTTCACATATTCTAGGGTACTTTAAATTTAGTTATATTGCTAGGAAGTATTTTATGTTGGTCTGATGAAAAGGAACCAGGTATACTGTTTTCATTGGTAAGAATTCCCAATATCACCATTTGTATTCTGGTGCTTATTATCCCCTAGTCAATGACTGAGAAAAGAGAAGACTAATCAGGGAATCTTATTGTTTGCTGTCTGGCATTCAGCCTTTATATAATGGACCATGATGGGTGCCAGGGAGTTGATCTCTTATCAGATGACCTTTTTCTCCCCCTCCGTATGGGGGCTTCACCCATGGTATGCTTGTGTTATGCCACTAACACTTATTATGTTATTTTGAAACAGAGTTTCACTGAGTTGCACAGGCTGTGCTCAAACTTGTGATCCTCCTTCCTTAGCTTCCTGAGTAGCTGAGATTATAAGCATATAGCACTATACCTGGCCCGTGCTTCCTTTCATTCGTTGTTTTCTTCTCTCATCTCCTTCCTTTCTTCTTTCTAGACAAGGATGGTCATTGTAAGGTGGGAATTTAGACTACATGTTCCTACCTTACCCATCCTCCAGAAAGGAAATCTTAAGTTGTTTTTTTTTTTTTTTTACTTTGGAAATTCAAAGCAGATTTCAAGATCTTTCCAGGTCTTTTAGAAACAATCACAGTGTGATTCTTGAGACTGAAAGTATAGCTCCATGGTCAAGCACATACTTGGCAAAACCCTGGTTTCAGTTGCCGTTACAAGAGAGATTAAAGAGAAGGGAAGAGAAGGAAAGAGGAGACAGATGAATACTCATTGCTTTAAAAAAAAAAAAAGAAAGAGAAAGAAAGAAAGAAAGAAAGAAAGAAAGAAAGAAAAGAAAGAAAGAAAGAAAGAAAGAAACCCTAATGCATAATATGGGTCACTCCTTTGAACCACTGTAAAATGAACACAGAAATTAATGTCCATCATACAGTAAATAGTAAATATACCCTTAAAACCACAATATTTCTGTAATGGCCTCATCACATAGTACCTGATTCATTATTTGATATAAAGGAAAGGTGACTGCTGCATAAGCTTGCTTGCTTTTTTTTTTTTTTTTTTTTTTTTTTTTTTTTTTGGTGGAACCGGGGATTGAACTCTTGCCAGGCAAGTGCTTATTCTACTGAGCCATCTCCCTGGCCCCTGCATAAGCCTTCTTTAAGAATTAATTGATAGGGCTGTGAGATAGCTCAGTAGACTAAGTGCCTGCTTAAGGAAGTACAGGGACTGGGATTTGACCCCTAGTACCACATGCTGCACCAGCCCTGTCCTTGGGCACACTGAGCCAGTGACAGAGTCTGGGCCCATGGTGGCACACGCTTATAATCCCAGCACTGCGGGGGGGTTTGCTGAAAACAGGAGGATCACTACAAGTTGGACCTGCTTAGTGAGTCCCTGTACAAAAACATAAAAAAGGTTTTTTTTTTAAAGATCTAATTGATAGATTTAAGCTAAGTTCAGTACCAGTGACTCCAATTACTTGGGAGGCTGAGGCAAGAAGATCACAATTTACAGCCAGATTGGGCATCTTAGATCTGGTCTTTAAAAAAAAAAAAGATAGGCTTACAATATTTTGAGGACTAAACCAGGCGCGGTGGCACGTACCTGTAATCTCAGTGTTTAGGAGCCTGACAGGCAGGAGGACTGTTTTGAATTTGAGACCAGCCTGGATACCAAGTGAGCTCAAGGCCCGCCTGAGCTGCATAATGAGAACCTGTCTCAGAAAGACAAAAACAAGTAAAATAAAATATTTTGAAGTCTAAAGCTATACCTATTAATCTTTTAGAAGTACAGTTACATAAAAGTGGCCTCCTCTTCCTGCCTTGCTCTCTCCTAAACGTTTTAATTCTGTTTTAGTGTATACCTGAATTAAAAGTCTTATATTATTTGGCTCAGTTTTATATATATAAATAAAACTGAGGGTAGTTACTGATTTAGAATAGCCATAGAATTAAATTTTTCTGAAAAAAGTTTTGAAGGAATTCTAAATAATAAATGTGCTTTTACTCTAAATAAGTTACCTATGAACTTTCTTTGCAGCGAAGTCTCAGTAACACTGAAGATGAATGTACCCACCTGAAAGAGATGAATGAACGGACTCAGGAAGAATTAAGAGAATTAGCCAATAAATACAATGGAGCTGTTAATGAGATTAAAGATTTATCTGATAAATTAAAGGTATGTATTTATTCAACCTGACAGTATGTTAAGGTAATTGTCCCTAATACACCGAACAGCTTAAAAGTTTGGGCATTGCTTGCTACTGATGTCACAATCCCTGTTCAGAGTATATTATAGGCTGGTGTGGTTGTGCATGTTTGTAATCCCAGCACTTGGGAGGCTGAGGCAGAATCACTGGGACTTGAAGCCCACCCTGAACTACATAGTGAGATCCTATATTTAAAAAAAAAAAAAAAAATCAATGAGTCAGTCAAACATAGAGACAGACCATAATAGAATAGAGGACAGAGAAACAAACCAACACAACTGTAGCTGATTCTTAAAAGGAATCATTACATTAGAGAAAAGAGAGACTCTTTAATAAACAGTGCTTTCTCCACTGTTGGTGGAACTGTAGATTGGTGCAATCAGTGTGGAGATTCCTCAAAAAACTAAAACTAAAGTTTTCATTTGACCCAACTCTTCCCTTTCTTGGTATCTTCCCAAAAGAATTACAAGCACCATACCACAGCGACATATGCATGCCTATGTTTATAGTGGTACCATTTGTAACAGCTAAATTTCAGAAACAACTCAAATCCCCATCACCTGACGAATGGATAAAGAAGATGGTGGGGTTTTTTTTAATACAGTGGAGTACTGCTGAACCAGAAAGAAGGTTTAGCTTGAGACCTTTCTAGTTAAAGGGATGGACCTTGAAACAATACTCTTAAGTGAAATAAATCAAACACACATGTGTAAATATCACATTCTGTGGTGTGAGAAACTAAAAGTGTAAATAAGGACTAAGATGTATAATATCTATTAGAAAATGTACAATACCTTGAGGAAAATGTTCAAAATGTATAATACCTTGAAGAAAATGTTCCGATGGAAAGGGGAACTAGGGAGGGGGAAAGGGAGAAGGCAAAAGAAAAAATAAAACAAGAACAAACAGCAGAAATAAAAACAAGTGGGGGGGCTGGTGAGATGGCTCAGTGGTCTAAAGCACCTGCTTGGAACAAGCCTGACAAAGCACAGGGACCGCGGTTCAATCCCCCAGCACCACATGCCAGCCAGCCCCGCCCCCTGGTGGGCTGAGCTGGCCACACACACACACAC